CCTTGAACTTGGGTGCTCGCAACTTTATCAACTAATTTGATACATTCATTCTATGAGTTAAAGAAGTATAAATTGAAAACACATCAGAACATTCTTCAATCATGAAGAATAATTTTCCAAATTTTATACAGGCATTTCCTGAGGTGTTCGCTCTTCTCCCTGCCTGGCCAAGGCAGGTGAATGCTATTACCTTCAGATTTATTACCTTTCACTTCATTCGAAAGCTTATTATCATACTTCTATTATCATAATAATCTATTTTTTTTATTAGCAAGACAACATACTCCTTACACTATCATATCAGAATTTTTCACTTTGAGTTGGCATGTACACTTTTTAAAACACTTCTAACTTCGATTTAAGCCTAGAATCGGCTAAACCGTAGCTCTGATACCATTAAATGTAACACCCCCAACCCATATCCGACCTAGATACGAGTCCGAAGTGTCACATTGTCTTTTCAAACATTTATTCATATAAAATAGTGAGTAATTTAAAAACTTTTATAACATTGAACTTATTCAAAACGTTTACAAAACTATTCAGAGCTTATACAATATATTCTTTTGATTACATGCCAACTAAAACTTTATTTATTAAAATACGTATTATTCACCTCTTTTCTGATCTGACATTTGGTAAGGAGAACTGACCTGTCTTGCTTCATATTGCTCTTTACTCTTCTCGAAACCTACGTGTGAAACAATCACAAGCTAAGTCGTTGACTTAGTGAGGCATATAAATATATAATAAAAACCATAGAACATTTCATATAACAAAACACATACCTGTACAAATACTATCATTATCATTAACATATCTATCATATAATATCATACATTTTTTCCAATCAATACCCATTTCATCCGATGAATATGTATTCTAAATATTTGATCATGACATTTCAATATGCATGTATCTATTACACGATAACATATATAATCATATCATGCACATACGAAACTTACCTTCTTGTACCACTTTCACTTTAAAGTTTGTATTTCAATTGCCCATGTATATTATTGAGAATAGAGGTATGTGAGTACATTGAGGTTGTGCACTAATGCTGTCACCACAGCTCGTATCAATTCCCTCATGGGGCACCGAACCTTAGTTCAGTATTCGTCCCGTAGGACCATTGTATATGTCTCGTAGGACCACTATGTCCCGAAGGACTACTCCTTAAGAACCACATACATAATACAATGGATCCAATAAGTGTACCGAAGTACTACATATAGGTTCCACATAATTACATACATGTCCCGAAGGACCACGTAGAACCCTCGACTCTTGGCATGCCAACTATACCTATAGCTCTCATATCATATACTATGGGCATTATTCTTATGTTTCATATCACTTGTTCCTTTTCTTCTGTCACATACCATATGTATGTGTGAACATACATCTCATATCATATAACCTTTATCTCAAGTGCATGTAATCACGTATTACATGTAATCACGTAGATCATTTCATATGGATTATATCATTTCTCATTTTTCATGTAAACACACATGTCATATCTTATTCACATATGTTCATATATACATCATATATCACATAGAATAACATATAAACTTATACATATATTCATGTACATACTTTCATATAGTTCGTATATCAATGCCCTATAACTTATCTCACATTATTTATATCCTAGTTTCATATATTTACTTAATTCAATTTCACATAACTTGTTACCTATATATATTCTTATAATTTATCATCACATTAATCCCTTTTACTTACCATATTCATATCAATAACACATATACCCATGCACACATATAAATCATAACAAATACATACTTCTATGAATTCATGTTTTTCACTATTGGAAATAGACTTATCACAAGTCTTATTTTTCCCTTGAACCTCATATACTAGAGAATGTGCACTCACCTTAGCTTTGCTTTGATTCGATTATAATCCTTCAATTGATCCGGAACGGAATCACGTTTCTATATCTACATCATCATACATAGATCTATATTAGTATTATAACTAATATACTCTAATGGTTCACTCTTTAGACCAAGAGAAAAGTCAATTTCATCTTTTAATGAAGGTATGCATCGATGCACTACTGATGCATCGGTGCATAAAATGTATTTGATGTTGTATTATTACTGGGATGCATCGATGTATGACTTATGCATCGATGCACTAATTGCATTCGATGTTTCCTTATTAATGGGATGCATCGATGCACTACTTATGCATCGATGCACAAATTGCATTCGATGTATTTATTTTAAAAGAGTGCATCGATGCACTACCAATGCATCGATACACCTTCAAACAATTTCTGGGTTTTAACATTGATGCATCAGTGCACTATGAATATGCATCGATGCACTCTGCCCATAACCTCTTTTTGAACCCAAAAAATCCTTCTTTTTGAATTAAATCCTTCATATTTCAACCCCTTTCATATTCCTAACTTTCATATACATAATTAAACTCATTAATATTCATTTATCTCATCTTTAACCTTAATATCCTCTCTTCTTTAGGAATTTCAAGAATCATACCCTATTTTCCACATATTTCAAATCCAATTCTAACACTTAATACTTCTTAATTAAGCTGATGGCAAGTCAAATCCAACTTTAGAACTTCAAAAACCTTTCTATAACAAAAGTTCATTTATAAACCCTTAATAGAAATTCCTTTCTAATTCTATCTCTTTGGTGTTTTAAACTTATATAAGCTTGCCTTAAGCTTATATAACCCTCAAAGACTCAAATCCAACTTAAAACTTTCAAGAAATCAAAAGCTAAATCAAACTTACCTTTGCTCTTGGCTTCCACGTGAAGAAGAAGAAGAAAGGAGAAGAGAACTCTGGAGAATTCTCTCCCTTTCCACGTGTATATAATTCCATTTTTTTTATTCCTTAAATGATCAAATGACCATTTTACCCTTTATTTCCTTTAATAATTACTAAATAACCTTCATCATATATATCTAATAATCATTGAACTACTTCATTCTTCTACTTTAGTCATCAAATTCTGAAACTTTACAATTTGGTCACTAACCCATAATTTGGGATATTACACACTACCCTTCCACCCATACTAAAAGCGCTCTCAGAGGCCACTGTTGATGTAGGAATGCCTAAAATATCCTTAGCTCTTTTTTCAAAGTTGGATATTTCAAATCAACTTTCCAATAATGAAACACGTCAAATGCACTACTCTCTGGTAATGCATCATCCTCAGGATAGTGGTCTAGCTCACATCTCACATTTACCTTCTTTTTCTTATTGTTCTTAATTTGGGTCCATGTATCACCTTCATCACCACTACCGAAAGAATCACTTCCAGCTTGTCGTTTCCCAAGTGACACACCATCATAACTAGAATAAGAATGAAAAGAATCTCTGCTTACTTTATCCCGGTACTTATGAAGAAGATCATATAATAATCTTTTAATCCTTTCAATTTCAACAGATGCGTCATTACCATAAAATATGTTAAAATAGTGCTCCACACATTCTAACTTATTTATAGGGTCCAAAATAGCTGCAATTGCTAGAATTCCATGGGTACTTATCCAATACTTGTCGAACTTCTCTATCATCTTTTCACCCATATCCTTAATAAGTTGCTCTTCTTCACTATCTTGCCACTTCTTCGATGTCATTTTAATCTCACATACTTGTCGAAAAAACAAATTGGCAGTAGGATATTTCCTACCAGAGAACAACTCAGTGATTTTGTGAAACCTCTTTAACTTATCACATATTATTTCCGCCAACTCCTAATCACGTGGAGTAGGAACAATAAACTTAAGCATGGGGTTTTGAATTTTCAAGTTACCAAAGACATTCTTATATGACATAACACTAACAAGCATCAAATAGGTCGAATTCCACCTAGTTTTACAATCAAGTTGCAACTTTCTAGAACAATCAATTTTCGAGGCTCTAGCCTTATCCTCAAACTTTTAAACTCTACTAGGAGTGGTTGTCTAAAATACAACACAATTACGAATCTTTTCAATTCCACCAGCAATTACTTGCAGACCATTTTGCATAATGAGATTTAGTATATGCACACTACAACGTAAATGCAAAAACTTACCATCCAACAAAAAACTATCAGGATCAAATTTCTCTTGTAAAACATCAATCATTGCATCATTTGTCGAACAATTATCAAGAACCATAGAAGAAACTTTCTCAGTTATATTATACATATTCAGAGTATCCACCAAAACTTGGGCAAGCATATTGTCAATATGTGGACAAGGGACATAAACAAACCTATGGATTTAACAAATAAAAAATACAAATCAATTGTGACTCAATGAAACAAATATAGTATTTTAGAACAATAGTGATTGGCTGCAATATTTATAAGAGTAAAATAGCATAATAATATAATGTAATCCTAAAAGCACCAACTATGTTAGAATAATAATGAATGTCTATTGTTAATTTACGAGAAACTATCTTATTCACCATTAGAAGTTGTAGCCAATTAATTATATTACATGATAGTCTACTGTTGTAGCCAATATAAATAATTAATTCAGTGACCCATGTTAATTTTTTGGGTAATTAGAGTTATTAAATTAAGACTTAACTCACTTAAGCATTATGATAGTCTACTGTTGTAACCAATATTTTAGCTAAAAAATGTACGCCATTAGAAGTTGTAGCCAATTATCAAGGTTGTCGAGTGTTTACTGAATAAAATTATATTACATCTGCAAACATGAAAAGAAGCAAAACCACTATAAGCCATAAACTATAAAAAATGAATACCTCATAGTCTTGTTCTGCAAAATCCAATGATCGTCAATGAAATGTGATGTAACAACCATGTATCCCTTTTTCTGATTCGACGTTGTCCACATATCACTAGTAATAGCCACTATTCCAACATGACCATCAAAGAGCTTCTTCAAGCTTGCTTTCTCACTGTTAAACATCTTCATGATGTCGCTTTTTAAGGTATTACGGGTAGTTATCTTAAAGCTTGGATTCAAGCTATTGACGAATCTTCGAAACCCAATATGATCAACAATGGATATTCATGTAGAATAACCATGTTAACGAGCTCCTTTCGTGATGCCTCTTGAGAAAACACATGGTTCTCAAGTTGTGATGTTGAATTTTGTTTACGATTGATACACAATAGTTTTTGGCTCAAATCAACATGTGCACTATGCTTTCTACTGAACCTTAGTTCAATATGATCTTTCAGATGAGAGGTACCATTTTTGCCTTTGGCATAGTAATATCGGCTACAATGCACACATTTTGCTTTCTCTTCACCATTCACTGTCACCTTCTCGAAGTGATTCCAAATTGGTGATGTAAATTTTCTGAAAATACGAGGTAGTATTTGAGATGGACCCATGGTGGCCATTGAGGATTTGTTTTGAGCATCATCTGGAGCCACTTTTGTTGCAGTTTCAGGTACCTCCTCAATTAGTTTCGGTTCAGGGCTTACACTAGGAGTTGGAGATGAATATGGCATGAGAGTATGGATGTCAGGAGATGAGCCTTGAGTTAAAGGAGAGATGGCATAGGATTTTGAGGTGCTACTATCTGATGTATCTCCCATATCCATGACTAAAAAAACCAAAAACAAAACTCAAACTAATTACTAAACAATTGCATATTGAACTTACATGAATATAAAACTACAGATTGAACTCAAGTGAATTAATAAAAGAGGAGAGAACTTACATGAATGTGTGTGTTGAGAAAGTGAAGCATTGAAGCTTGAGAATATCAAGTTTCAAACTTGGTAAAGTGAAGCTAACCAGGAGAGAGAGGCGGCTAAAGGCATTAAGGCAACAGAATGAAAAGATAAAAGATTAAAATTAGGGCTTTCATTCTTTCAAACCTAGTCATGTGACAATCATGTTTATTTTTTTAATATAATATATATATATATATATATATATATATATATATATATGGATGGATATATTAATGGGTGAATGGATGCTGCGGGTGATTGGTTAAAAAAATTTCATCCATATCCATATCCGACCCGATCCATCCATCACCCGCAAATCATCCGTTTCACAACGGGTTTTCATCCATTTATTCGGGGCGGGTGGATGGATAATCCACTCACCCATGGATAATTGCCAGCCCTACTTATCGGTGGTTACATATAGTTACATCGTTTCTTTGATAAAAGATTACTTATCAATATAATCAAAATTGTGTAACGAATCAGCCTACCACATAGTTTGGTTCACTCACCACTCCTTTATCACTTTATAAAACATCTAGTTCAACAGAGACAACGAGTTTTTATGAAGGTTACTGAGTTCTTTTGATGTTAGTCGTCGTTTTTAAGGGAATGTTTTAATTGTTTTTGTATAATTGGGTTTAATATTTTTATTTTTATGTGAGTTTTTTTAGTAATTATCGTCTTCATTTTTCTCTTATATTTGGATGCATTATAATTCTACTTTCTTTAATTATTTTTATTAATAAAATCAAGTTATCATTGTTAAAAAATAATGAAACACAAATATTAATATTATACTATAATTAAACAAAATAAATATTTTTAAATATATTTTATAAAAAACATCAGTTCTAAATAAATAAGCTTAATTGTTAATATAAATAAATCAAATATATATATATATTTCAATTCGTTTATTTGATTAAACAAATATAATTTATATGGATTATAATTCAATTAATTTAACTATAACAAAATTGATCGATAATATATTCATTTACAATTCTACATGTATGTTGAATGTCGCATTAAAACCTTATCTCATTTACAAACATTCGGTTAGTCTAGTGGAATAAGACATTAAATTTTTTAAGTAAAGTTAAAAATTCAATTCATGATAATTTTCAATAGAGTATATTTAAATACTCAAATCCCTGAAATTCAATTTATTCCTCATCGGTCACTTTCCCTTTCGTTAAAAATAATAATGCTTATAACGTTATATATCTGAATTGATTAAAAAAAAATTTAATCTTCTAAATAAAGAAAGAGTATAATTTAAATAATTTTTATATATATTAAATCGTAAATTAATTGCTCAGTCTTATATTATTTGGAAGTTGAATAGCAGTATTAGGGAAAGGGGCTGATTTTGTCGTGTAGTAGCCAAAATGACTCAAACGTTGCGGTGGAAAGTGGAAAGGCGCACGTGGAGATGCTCACATTCACTGCTCTCGCCTTTGTTTTTTTATATCCAAATTTAGAAAGTTGACTTTTTCTTCACCCAAATTTGTTCAATTTCAAAGGCTGTGGCCATCTTCAATGTAATCAAAACTCATCCCTCTCTTAACATTATCCATACCATTGGAATTTCACTATCAAATATCTTCATTGTTCTTCCTAATCTACGACTTGGTGAAAACCTTTTCCTACCTATATTTAAACTCAATGGTTCACTTTAACCAATTGAGAGGACGTTTATTAACGATTATATGATTTAATGTGACGAGATAATAGATTTTTAAATGAGATTGAGACTTGAATCTTAATAATTACGAATAAAATAAACTAAATTGCGAGGATCATTATCATAATTCTATAAAATTTGATCTAAATTAATTAATTAACTAATTAATCGTTAATTTAAGAAATTAAGAGAGTGTTTAATTAAGTGGGGGCACTATAAAGTAACCTCACCTTCATGGAAGGAACATAAAAATGCAAGTTGAGAGGAACAGTGGGTCCATTCCCAAATATGTTATATTTATCCAAAAATTATAATTTGTTATTATTACTTTTCAGTTTCTATTTGGTTTAGCCTAAGACCAACGTATCCCTTTTGGACAAGGAAGATCTAAGTCTTAATATTTTTCTTCTTTCAATGCCAAGCGTTTTATAATTCATCAGATAATAATCCTTTAAACAATGTATAAATTTTAATTTATTTTGCAAAAATAGTTTATTGAATCTTGTTTAGTTAATAAACTAATATTTAATAAAATTTTAATTTGTACTCTGCGATTGAGCAAGTGGGCAAAAAGGCCAGCAAAACGACAACCGTCAAAATTATTCATCACGTGTCTAAATATGAAGTTTCAAAGAAATTCATAATTAATCCATAAATAAAATCCCACCTTTATTATAATATTAAAAAGAACAGGCAGATGAGAAAAACCGCCGATCCAAATTCGTGTATCTAATTCCCTATATAAACCCAATTTCTCTTTGCCATCCAAAGATTCAGACTCCCTTTTATTCGTTTAATCTTTTTTCCAAACAAATCCCATAAATTATTAACTTAAGATTTAACAGTTTTCGTAATGGAGATGTATCCAAGTAGCAGCAACGATTCCGATTTAGCCATTTTGGACTCAATTCGGCGGCATTTACTGGGTGACTCATCGGACTTCCGATTCGATGCTTCTACCGATTGTACCGCCGCCGCCGCCGTTCCTCCCATGTTCTGCAGGAGCTCGAGCTTCAGCCGCTTGTACCCTTGCTTGACTGAAACCTGGGGTGACCTCCCTCTTCAAGAGAACGATTCCGAGGACATGCTCGTTTTCGGGTTCCTCCGAGATGCTTTAACCGTCGGCTGGGCCCCCTCCGACAACTCTTCAATGAATTTCCCGCCGGTTAAACCGGAGCCCCAAGAGATTTTAGTCGAGAGGAAAGTGGATACGGCTGTTCCCGCCTTGGTTCAGCCCAAAGCGAGACATTACAGGGGAGTCCGGCAGAGACCGTGGGGGAAGTTCGCGGCTGAGATAAGAGACCCGGCTAAAAACGGGGCCCGGGTTTGGTTAGGTACTTTCGAGACGGCTGAGGACGCGGCTTTGGCTTATGATAAAGCGGCTTATAGGATGCGCGGGTCGAGGGCTTTGTTGAATTTTCCACTGAGGGTGAATTCCGGGGAGCCTGACCCGGTGAGGGTAACGTCAAAGAGGTCATCGCCGGAGCCGTCTAATTCTTCTTCCTCCGGCTCGCCGAAGAGGAGGAGAAAAGTGGCAGCGTCGGCGTCGGCCCAAGCCGAAGTTAAGTATGAAGTTGGATCGTGTAAAAATGAGAATCAGCTATTAATCAGTTATAGATGACGTTGTAGTTGATTTTAGTAAGTTGCCCGATTTAGGAAGGAATATTAATAACTTCAAAACGAAGAATGAGAGTTGTTTGGCTGTGTATACAAAGGTTCTTTATTGTTTCATTCGTACACCTTTTCTTAAATGGAAACTTTTTTCTTCTTCTTTCGCATAAATTGGGTGATTTTGTGGTACAACTTAAATTCGGTTAAAAAATAATAAAAACAAACTTCATAAAAATATTATAAAAAACCTAACATTTTAGATTTAGATTTTATGAAACCTAAAATATTATCTTGTTTGTAATATTTTAGACATAACATTTTAGAATGGACACAACCTAATATTTTTAGTTAGTGTCGTAACGGCTTTTGAAAACATGAGAGCCACCACCAATCATTTTTAAAGTGAGATATGAACACTTAAAATCGAGTAATTTTAATAAAATATTTTTATTTTATTAAAAATTTACATGTTTCGGTATGTGAAATCAGAATTCATGTTAGAGAGTCAGTTACGCGTGAGGATGGATTAACACCCAACAACACTAAAAAATTTGTTCCTAGTCGATTATTCTATGTTTTAAAATTTTAAAATATGAGTTCGAAGTTTTATTTAATTTAAAACATATTATGTATGCAAATTTAAAAAGGATATTAATTTATTATGAATAATAACGAATACCCTCAAGCACAATTAGAAGTTTCATTATTAACCCCAATAAATAAATATTGCCTTAATAATTTAAAAAACATGATACAAGATTTTGAAAAAGATGTTGATTTACTTCGGGAATCAACAGTGGTCACCCCGAGAATAATGCAGACAAACAATCAATTATTGAACCTAATTAAACTAAGTTAGTTAATTAAGGCTTCCCTCCAACTAAAGTGTCAAATTATAAATTTTAAAAGACCTAATGGATTAAACCTAAAATGTAGGCTCTAATTTTAGCACCTTATTGAATCAATTAGTTAAAATGGAACCTCCATAAAAGCGATGACCATATTAAAAATTCTCTTAAATAAAAGGACTATGATGAAATTAGACCCTATATGAAGGCTCTAATATTAAACCTAATCAATTTTACAATTTGTTTAATCGAATAATTAATGCGGAACCTCGGGCATAAAAGCAATGTCAAATTAAAAATTCATCTAAATTACAAGACTAAGGTGAAATTTATCTAAAATGAAGGCTCTAACTATTAATCCTAACCAAATTTAACATATGATTAGATCGTATAATTAATATGGAACCTCAGATATAAAAGCGATGACCAAATTAAAAATTCACTTAAATTAAAAGACTAACGTAAGTTTAAACTAAAATGAAGGTTCTAATTATTAATCCTAACCAATTAAACTATGACTAAATTAAAAGATTAGTAAAATACATATTGAAAGGAGAAAAATTTAAACATAGCAAGGATTAAATTAAAGCAAATTAAAAATACAACTGAAATTAATAAAAATGAGTCTAAATAAACCCTAAACCCTCTAAACCCTCGATTCACAGCCTTAAACTTGGATTTAAAGCTTGAACCACCAAATAAAGCCTTCAAAGACCCCCCGGACCACCCTCGACCCTGAACCAACAAATTCTTCAATAGTTATCTAAATTTACTAGAATCATTTTAAATTCAATTATAATATAACATTTTAGTGACATATCTAAAAATATTTCTACGACACGAAAGCAATAATATAGAGTAAAACAAATTGAAGCAGAAGACCGTAGCATCAGATAAAGAACGGATTTAATAATGTATAATCATTTATGTTGATCGCGTAGCAATGACATAAGAAATTAAACAGATGATAAAAAAAGAAGAGCACGTCGACATGGAAAGAGCATAAGGCGGCGTCAACCTGCCTGAAGGAAGGCGCACGAGCGTTGTACGGTCAAACGACGGTTCATATTTTGCCTGTAAGTACCGCCTATCATTTATTCTAAGTTGACTCTTACTTTCATATTTTCACGTTCCAAACTTCAACACTATATTTTAAAAGTTGTGTCATAGAAATAGAGAAAAATATATCATAAAAATATAAAAATAAAGATTTTTTATTTTATTTTAATACTTGTTGTTAAAAACTTAAGTCTATGTTTCATTTTAGATGTTAAAATGAACAAAAACTTATATTTTAGATAACAAATGCGTTAAATTTTTAACAAGATACCAAAATGAAATGAAAGACGAAACATTATGATTTTGAAAAAAACTTAAAAGTTTAGATACTAAAACGGAAAATTGATATCTTATGTACTAAATGCATAGTTTAGCCATAAAGAATAATACCATTACCAAACAATTCTTAACATTTTTTTTTAACATTTAAGATGAACAGATGATATAAATCAGGGAAATTATATGATAAAGGCAAGCCAACATCCAACCTTGTTTGAATTCCAAAAGATGTAATGAAAGCTGGGAATTTAATAATTTGCAGTTTTCTCTTGCAAATATTATTCATTTATAGAGGAAGCAAATTCTAATATCCTCTCCAAACATTAACACGCATTGTTGAGAAACAAAAACTCAAACTTTTGATTCACCAAGTTTCATACTATGCTGCAACAGTTTTGAATTGGTGACTAAACTGTAGCTGCCACCTTCGTAAGTGCAATGACATTGAAGTTGAGCGACTCTGGATTTTTCTGGATCATCCCCTTTATCACTTTCGCAGCATCCTGTTGTTATCACACCAGTTACACTCAAAACACACTCCTCTATACCAATATATTTGCCATTCAACTACTTTTGAAGACGCAAATCGAATTTACTTTTTAACATCGACACAAACCTGCAACAAGCTACTCGGCGAGGAAGGACCGTGGGATACTGGTCCAGACTTTCTTCCATCAAGTTCATAAAGTTCCCCTACGTTAACGACACAAAAAAGTTTAAGACCGAAGCACTGTAAACAACTACAAGTAAGATCAGAATCAACTCTGATCAAGCAATTCAAATCGTCTTTTCCATTCATTTTCTGTTTCTTTATATTTGAAATGAGAGACGATATGTACCATCAACACATGTGAAGCAGATAAAGTGAGTGTCCACATTGTCAGAAGCCTGTCGAAAAATTGGCAAGGCAGAACAAAGGACATGGGATTAGACAAAATACACAAGCGTATATAAACCGTATTGCTCGAAAATAAAAGAATCTTGATTACATATTGTACAGAGCTATATCTACCCAAACGTCGAAAAATGTACTAATTTAACACTTAAAAGGAATCAAGCAGAGAAAGAGATTACTTGGAATAAATTTACCTCTGTTTCACCAGCAGAAGCTGCTACCGAGTGAGCAACTTCCATTTCCACCTGTGTTTTAAAAGGCGTGAGGCGCTCCAAGGCGATTAGCTACCCGAGAGCCTCAATTTTTTGAGACGCTTTGAGGCGAGAGATTCACGTACGCGAGGCGCTTAATTTTACAAAACATTTATAAATATTTTATAACCATATCTCAAACACACAAAACAACTTAATAAGCAAAAACACCAAGTAGCATAGGTATACTATATTTCCTCCTCGGATCAATTGCATCATCAGCGGAACCGATAGCATCGTCGGTGGCCATTTTAGAAAAACAATCTAACTATCTAAATAAACATAGCAGCAATCTATAAAAACATAAAATACAATACATAGCAAAAAATACATAACAACAAAATGTATCAAAACAGAAAACTAACAAATTATATATTTATAAACAGAATTTATATGATGTGTATGAAGTAAAAACAGATTAGCAATAGACTGAAAACAGAAAACTAACAGATTATATATCTATAAACTAACAGATTAGCAATATAAACAGTAAGCTTTTTTTTTGGAAAAGCATAAAAAACAGATTATAACTAACAAATTAGCAATAAAAACAGTAAACTAACATATTATAACTAACAGATTAAAAACAGAAAACTATAAACAGAATCTATAAATTAAACAGAATGCATATTGAGCAGGATTATCTATAAACAAATTACATATTTACATTGTGCTTAAAAGCCTAAAATGAGTAAATTCTATATTTCTATGAACAGATTATCTAAACAAATACCTTAATGGCGAAAACCTTAATGATTATATATTTAAATTCTAAACAGATTACCTAACAATTAAACATATTATAGATAAACAATTAAACAGATTACCTTAACAAAAATAACAAGTAAGCAGATCGCCTTAACAATGAAGCGGATTATATATCTACAGCTGTGATAACCGATAAAGAAAGCTTGTGTCTTCCAATATATAAACAATTAAACAAATTACATTGAAGATGAAGCAATTAAACAAATTACAGTGAAGTAAATTAACCATGTAGGAGTGGAGGGGAAAAGAAAAGCAAATTGTACATACACTACAGTGATACAAATTTTAAAATTAAGACTTACCTTAATGGAGAAAATCGAGAAAGGAGATAGGAGAAACTGAGAAAGGAGTCTGCTTTCAACTTCAACGTAGAACATTCGCTGAATTAAGCATGAATGGAGGAGGGAGAGAAAATTTTAGGAGGGAAAAGAAGCTCCAGGGTATGCATCGGAGAAACTAGAGAGCTTGGATCATGATTTATGGACATACAGTAATTAAAAAATTGGACGTTAGAAGGTCAAGAGACAGTTCAAAGTTCCAGGAATACATTAATGTAAGTAATTGGAATTTAAAAGGTCTGACTGTTGGAAGATTAAAAGGTCTGACTGTTGGAAGAAAATCGAGCCCAGACCCAAAATTTAAAAATGGGTCATTGTACGTGAATCGCTAAAAGCGTCGCCTCGTCGCCTCTCGCCGCCTCCGACGACTGAATCGCCGCCTCATGTACTCGCCGCCGCCTTGGTGGTCAGAGGCTTTTTTCTAAACGCCTCGCCTCGCCTAGCGCCTCAGGCACGCTTTTTAAAACACAGATTTCCACATCTTTCTCAAGAAACGCAGCACGCTGTGGAAGCATACACCAATTTGAATTCAGCAATCAGATATCACATAAACATGCAGGGAAAAGCACACACCCGCGTGTATGCAGAGATCAGAGAGAAGTAGAAGTAGAACCTCCAACGGATCCATGGTTGCTGTAGATTTAAAAAACCTATCCAAAAAGGATCCCTCTTCTGAAAAAGACAAGAAAAAATAGGATAATAACTACCAAGTACCCTTAAGTTCAGGGTTCACAGGAAGCATTGATGTTAATACTACATGCTTTGTACCTAGAGGCTAGAAGAACTCAATAGAATTCAGTTCTTCATTTTAAGAAGAAAAATGAAACAGTAAAGAAGTCTACTCATGGACAATGGACACAACATGTCTTAAAAATATCAAACTTCCATCAACGATTATTCCATCCCATGACAGCATGAAAGCAGACACATCCCTATTAAACTGATATATGTAAAAATGAGCAAACATCACTAAGCACGCTTCGTGAATGACAATAAGACGAATATGAAAATGAGCGTTATTCCTCAATAAACAGCGAATATTAGACCCGACTTACGGAGCTTGATTTCTGATGTAATATTTCCAACACTGTGAAGAAGCCCAATTGTTCCACAAGCGTTTCCCACAGTTTGTTTCATGAAATAAACTTTACTGCTAACATTCTACAACCAAAACAAAAAAGATAAACAGATATAATTGTATCATACATAGTTCTGAAAAATGACAAATCATGTAGTACATCTATTATTTTTGTTTTAGGAAAGTCAAGAAAAAAAAATTAAACTTTGAACTTAAAATTTTGCATTCTCTTAAGAAAGCTTTCCTATTTCTCTTTTTCAGTTCAGCACGTTGTATCATCTAATAGTGTAGCCAGTCTAAATATTGTACTTGAGTGATCTTTTACACGAAGAGACCATAACCTCTAGCAATTATAAGGCATAACTAACAGTTTGTACAAGATTTTCATAGTCTGGGATGATTACAAGGTAGTATATGTTCATAATCTTACTTAGCAATTGACAATGCACAGAAGCCATGTAGACGCAGCTGCTCAAACCCAGGAGAGAACAAAAATTCCTTTAATCACTTAGGCCATTCAATGAGTTCCAGTTTGTACAATTTAAATTACAATAATTCATGGTCTAAATATTTCTGAATTCGGAACCTCATAGAAACAGCTAGATACAAAACTGGAGCTAGAAAAGAATATCAGATTATAAAACAAACCGCATTGCACTTACCCTTTTCTCATTATCTTGGTGCAATCTCTCTTCTTCAGTCTGAAAAAGAGAACCACAGAAACAGAAAAAAATATTGTATCGTAATTAAGTGTATAAGTGAAGTTATTTAGAAGAAGAAATGGCCCGACAACTAAGCTGGAGGAAGGAAATAATTTTTTCAAATGAAGACACCTGAGAAGTTATTGGATAAAGAAAAAGCACAGCAAGAACAGGCTGAGGAACAATTGCTAAGAGTTCATCATCCAAGCCGTAAACATCGCAGCACTCTGTCACAGTCTCTGGTATACCCAGATTCCATAGAAACTGCAGAAATACAAATACTATGATTTTCTTGGAATTTACACTAAATGCAACTATCAGCGTAGAATCGTAAAACCCTAACTCCCTATCCAGTTGCCGCAAATCCAGAAAAAAAAAAGAAATACGTGTTCTTAAATGTTCACTTCATTTTCCGATCTTTTCTCGGTAACCAAACATTACAAGTAAAAGAACCTGGTTCATGACATCAGGGTTAGCTTCGAGAGGAAGCCATCTCTTAGCAGCAGGACTTTCTTCTGGAGTTGCCATTTTCTTAGCTAGTGGTTTCTGAGTTTTGTAAGCGTTTGAGAGATGGAGATGAGATCGAAGAGAACGGGAAGTCTGGAACACGAGTCGGTTGATTCTTTTTCTCTTGCTTTATATATTGTTTTTTTCGATTTTCATCATCTGCCCTGCCTGGTTTTTTAATCTTATTAAACGCTATTCAACTTAAAAAAAAAAAAAAAAACTTTTAGTTTTGAGTTATTTAAATCAACTTAAGTTATTTAATTCAGATTATAAATTTGATTCAAGTTAAAATTTAAAATTTTTGAATGACGCAATAAATTAAAAATCTAAATTAATATTTTGACAGTTTTACGATTTATTTTTTAATTTCCTTATTTCTTCAATTACTCTTTTAATTTAAATTTATTTTATAAAATTTGACACATACTTTTAAACTATCGTAAAATATTTATATACCTTCAATTACTTTTATTGATGACAATGATTTATTTTTAATTTAGTCCTTCAATTTTTTATAATTTTCTTATTTTTCAATTCATCATTCGTTTTAAGTTTGTTTTGATTAAATTCGAACCATATGCTCCTATATCACTATATAATACCTATTTAACTTCAATTTCTATTTTTACTAGAATGTACTCTTTTTATAGTTCAGTCATTTAATTTTAAATTTTACTTAATTTGGTCTTTTGATTGTAATTGTCTACATATTCTTTTTTCCCATCAATTCATTGACTCATTTATACTCTCATCAATATTTTACTCTCAAAATATCTTTTTTAAAATATAATATTGTAAATATATTTTGTAAATTTAGATTCTATTTTATACATAAATAACATTATGATGTGAAAAGAATATGAAGTTATATATATCGTATATGGTTAGAGTCAGAGAATTAGAATCGATTTGTTTCATAATATTATAAATAGTTATAATTAAATTTATATAGAAACTCAAACAACTCGATTCGACTTGAAAATTTTCAAGTTACCTTTAAGTTATAAAATAAGACTCGTCAACTTGAATGAATCGGATGCTCACCCCCAATTACAAGTGAAAGTGAAAACATAATGGTAAATTACTAGATTGGTCACCCATCTTTTGGCTAGTTTCATTTTCATCACTCAATTTTTTCCTATTTTCTTTTCCATTTCTCATCCAGAACTTTCAATTTGTTCATAATTTAACACACATCTATTCATGAGTTATATTGACCTTGCGAAGTAATCATTTGGACTTACATGATGTAGACTGAAATAATAAGTAATTAAATTCTGACTTTTGGTCTATTAATTACACTTTTGTTATTTAATTCAATGAGTTATTTCACTAAAGTATCATGATTGAACTTCCAAACATATGAAATTATTAAAAAAAAAATTACTTGTAACTTTTATCTAATATCTTGTCATAAAATATCTCTTTGGGTTTCATATGTGCATCTCGTGTGATCATTTTATATCAATGTTCCATTATAAACCACAAAATAAAAACGTTTTTTTAAAAAAAAAATAAAAAAATGCATAATAAAAAATGGTTATGACAATAATAATTACATAATTTTTCTTTACAAATGACTCATAACCACGTTTCTTTTCATAAATAAAATATAATTTCATTGAGATTATACTTTTTAACTCTTTGATTGAGTTATAATTTCATATCTATAAATACATCTACTTCATGTATGGATTATATATCCAACATACAAACAATCAACTTATTACTTCGAGAGCCATCGTTTCTTAATATATGAAAGCATGCAAATCACACATGCATACTTCTACATCTACTCAGGACTAAGGTAAACATAAATTAAGACTTCCAAATAAATGATTCTCTAAAGAGACAGTCTTTTAAAAAGACAAGATTAAACTTGATGTCTAGAGAAATGATCTTAAGAAAGATGAGATCGAGGTCTCTAAAGAAATAATCTCTAAAAGAGACAAAATTAAACTTTCTAGAATACAAACCCCAAGAGAGTCGATATTGAAATTACCAGGAGACATGTTCTAAGAAAATCAAGAATGATGTTCCTTGAAGAAAAATCTTAGAAAATACAAAGCTAAGGTTTCTATGGAAACAATCTTGAGGAAGACTAAATTGAACTTTATAGGATAAAAGTCCTAAGAAAGTCAAGATTGAGGTTCCTAGAGGAACGGTCTTAAAAAAGACCAAGCTGAAGTTTATAGGGAAACAATCCTGAGAAAGACTAAAATGAGTTTTCTAGGATACAAGTCCTAACAAAGTCAAGATTGAGACTCCTAGTAGAATGATCTTAAAAATACAAGTTGAAGTTTCTGGAAGTCTCTATAAGAAATTTTAAGCGTGTAAGAAAATCTTTTTATGACATTCTACCCTCAAACAAATAGTCATTCGAAAAAAGTTTCTCAAATAACTTCTTTAGCAAGTAACCCTTATTTTCCTTAGAATTCTGTTTCCAAATTTAAGTTTCTTTCAATAGATTATGAAAGATATACTTAGATCTTACGGAACCAATTTTGAGTCAAGAAGAGAGAAATTTGAGCCTCTAATCAAGTTTCAGTTTCAAATGTTTTGTTTCAAGTGCTTTATTCATATTAGTGTTAGATACATCTCTGTTAATCTGAATTAAGAGAAAACCAAATGTTAGGCTTGAATCTCTTTGAGAAGCGAAAGAGAAATTTCTTTAAGCCAATGATTAGTTAAAAGTCACCTTTGTAACGCCCGAAATACTGATCCAAATGGGTTATGGATTAACAAGGTAGGCTACAAGAAAGCACTGAGCTAAGTTTGGGCTTAATTGGATTGAAAATTGAGCCAAATAGTCGTAAAAGAAGATTTTTGAATTGAGATTAAATGAGGAAGGACTAAGGAGGTAATTAACTCGTTAAGACTTGTAAAGGCTGGTCTCTAAGTTATTAGCTAATATCACCTGTTAGAAAGACCATAACCCTTGTATTCTTCTTCATATTATCTATTCTTCATTCTTGTGGCTGCATCAAAGGTGAGAGCTGTGTTGTGGGTGTTGAACGAATTATGGAAGGTAAGAGCTGCAATCTATATTTCTAGACCTTCCATTCAAGCTCTCATTCTCAAAGTTTAGTCATGGTGGCCATCGTTGAAGTTTTAGAGAAGTTTTGAGTTTTAGGGTCTCAGAGTGATTTCAAACTCGTTTTTAATGTTTAGAATTCATTTTAATACTTCCCTTGAATTCCTAGATGAGTTAGTTACTCATTCCTTGCTATGTGATTAGTGAAAGACGTGAGGGAAAACTCTAAAGGCAAGAGTAAGGAAAAACTTATACTTCGTTGAGCTTGAGGTTGTTTTCCAACAGTTAGGAGTAAGATAACACACCTCTAAGGGTGTGTTTGGTTGGGGGAATGTGAGTTTCCCATGGGAATGGAATCCACATTCCCCCGTTTGGTTAGCCGGGAATGTCATTCCCAGTAATCATACATTACCAATAGTGGATTTGTTGGGGTATATTACTGAGAATGTCATTACCTCCCTTTCCTTAGGTATTATTGGATTACCGACGTTTTGGACTAAAATGCCCTTAAATTTTTTTCTTTCAAAAATATTCTTATTCTGTCATTGAATAATAAAAATTCTACGAAGGTTAAATTACAAATTTATCCTTAAACTATTTTAGATTTACAAAAAAAAAATCTATAATTAAAATTTTATATGAAGTTCAGGGGTTAAAATAAAATTTTATCATTTCATTAAACCTTTTTATATTTTTAATTTTGTAAAAAAATTATATAAATTTTATGAATTTAAATTTTTAAAGAAAATATATAAATATTTTCCAACTTGTTCAAAAAACAAATATATAATAAGAACAATTTGGTTAAATATACATTCCAACAATCTTTTATTCCTTTAACCAAACACAGTAATCTTACATTCCTTTAACCAAACACAGTAATCTTACATTCCTTTAACCAAACACAGTAATCTTACATTCCTTTAACCAAACACAGTAATCTTACATTCCTGTTAAACTAACCAAACACAAAATACAACATTCTCAGTAATCTTATTCCCTGGTAATCTTTTATTCCCACTGGTAATCTTACATTTCGTGAACCAAACGCACCCTAATTATTTTATAATATTTGTAGATCAACATGTGTAATTTGCTTGCTTGTATGACTGCATGGAGCACAATATGTGCATGGATGAAATATGATGTTTTTGATGTTATTCATGTATGGAAAAGACATATTATGATCCATTTTAACTCTCATAAGATTTTAATATCGTTTGAGGGATTATTAGAATTTATTGGAGTAATTTTCTTGTTAAAAATAAGATATTTATGAGTTTGAGTATCGATATTTAACAAATAACATTGATATCTTTCTTGAGAAAGTCAATAATGGGAGTTTTGATTGAGTAGTATCGATATTATGTTCATAGGCACCGATACTTGATCAGCAGGTGAGATGTCACCGTGATTAGTGCAAGCGTACACCCGTTGACTACAAAATAGTGATAATCTTTCGGATAAGGATGTCAAATCCCATATGAAACGAAGCTATTGAGTCTAAATTTTAAAAATTGTTTAACCAAGTGAACCATTATGGTAAAGTTCTAAATGGAATATTTATTATGGCAGCCAATTTATTGATAAATTCTATTTATGGAAAACAAAATTAGGGTATGTTTGTTTGCGTAAAATGAATTACGGAATTTGTTTTTTTTGAAATCTCGTGTTTGTTTCACGTAATTTATTTTTCGGTTTCACGTAATTCATTTTTCGGAAAATGTTTTCCAGTGTTTGGTTGGAGGAAAACTGGTTGGTCAACGTAAAATATTTTCCTGTTCAACAAAATCTCCTTTGTGTTTTCTGGAAAAAGACTTACGGTCTGATTTTCCGTAAGTCATTTTCCGAACTTTTCACTTCAAATAATAAATACTTAAAATAATTTATTTTATGAATTTAATATTAATAAAATATTTTAATATCATTTTCATCAAAATATTAATTATTAAAATATTTAAAATATATTTATTAATATTTCTAATAATATAATATTATATTTTTAATATTATAATAAAA